AAAACGGCATTTTGTCTCCAATAAATCGAAAAAGTGGTGACTGGAGGTATGACGTTTTTACATCGGGCGGCAGAACCGATGATAGGTCCAACTAGACCCGTAACGCGTCTGAAGTTGCCTTCCTGAATGATCGTAACTAGTTTCGTACCAAACAGCGTGTATCTTTGAAAGGAAATCGTGCTCGATTGAGCTTTTTCCCTCTTTAGAAAGATTTCCAGTTATCTAGATTTGAACGCACGTTGGCCATATCTCCAACTTACTGTCTATTATTTGGACGTATTTCTACCAAACAGACCTATGTGCAAGTGAGAAATATGGGGTGTGCTCGTTAGTTCTCTGGCGGTAAGAGTGAATGAGAATAATAAAGCGCCGGTGACGTCAGCGGCAACGAGGCCCGTCTCCGCGGTCGCCCCCGTCCGCCCGCCTCCGCATAAACTCATGAGCCCTGTCCACAACGCTCTCTTGCCATGCCCGCGGCTCATGAGTTCCGCATTCAGTTCGCACATAGGTCTCTTTGATAGAATGCAATATCCCGCTTTTCCAATTCTTCAAAAGGAACCACGCCCTCTTTTACATTGCTTCTTAGGCAGTTTTCTAGAGCACACCCCATATTTGGACTGAGTTAAGCAGGAAAAGAACCAACCCACATTTTGGAAAAAATTGAGTTATGAGTGGTATTGAACTCAACCACTGCTCTACTATCTATCGCCAAAAGTTCAAAGTTTTTGTTGGAGCAAATTTGGCAGAAATTGAACTTGAAGTTTATCTTTTACATTGAGTCTTATGAAGGAGCCAAAATTTAAACCTATTTTTCTCGGTTCGATCCCGATGTGGCTTGGTTCCTTTCTGTTTAACTCCGTCCATTTCTCGCCTCCACATAGGTCTGTTTGATAGAAATACGTCCATATCTCCAACTTACTGTCTATTATTTCGTGTTTTAGATCTTGTTCTTTTCACGGAGACAGCTCTCACAGGACGCTCGGAAGACTCTGACGAAAGCCCGCAAATGTGGGTGAGAAAGACCTCGCAAAAAGCCGCCTCCACAGAAGACCAAAAAGTATTCCCCTGCGAAATCTGCAATAGGACTTACACATACCGCACAAGTTTGCTCAACCACATGAAGTGTCACACCGGTGAAACTAGATGTGATTTGTGTGAAAAAACTTTCTCGACAGTTAATATTTTAAGAGCTCATATGATGCTTAAGCACAATATTGACTTCAGGAACAAAGGAAAACAATTGAATTAGGTATCCGTCTAGCACGCTAACACCGAGTGCTGGAAGGTAGCCCTTCGCTTTTTTTGCTTCTTGAGGTTAGGTTTGCAATTTTTTCATACATACAGAGTTCCGATGCAGTTTTGGAAAAAAAACTAAACACAACAGCGAGCGTATTTTATACCGTAGAATGTGGAATAGTTGCTAACTCGTTTCCGCCAAAATTGTCCGTTAAACGGTATTTTTCATTGGCCCTCGGTATGGTATATTTTTTTCTGGTTTTGGTCGCAAAACAGTCATGAGTTTTTTCTGCGATGATAGCTTTACCTTATACTTTTAAGTATGCATGATCAAATTTTATCTCTATTGTATTTGTCAATTTGAGATTTTAAAAAAAACCTAAATGGAATTTAGCTTGTTACACCTGCTGTCGCTTGTATCTCTTATGTCTTAAATGTCTTAATTCAATTACACACTATTTTCATGATCATTCGTGTATTTTATATCGCTCCCAGAATAGACAATCCATGCTCGTCTGGGAGTTGAATTTTCGCAAGAATCGTTGAAATGAGCAGATTTAGGCAGGTAAGGTCGATATCAGCAAGTAAAGTGCTCAACAAGTAAAAACTGCCCAAATTGCAGAGTCGGATTGCCCATAAGGCCAATCTGGCACTGGCTGATACGCCCCCTGACGCATCAAAGACGCGCCTCTCTGCCAGATATAGCAAAATAAGATGAGGGAAAAAATTATGACCGAGAAAACATGCAGAAAATTCATAGATGAACGGGAGAAGAGAAAGTAAGAGTAAAGTAAGGTCCTCGTACGTATGATAGTGGTGAATGGAGGGAGGTCCTGGAACTATAAACCGGAAATAAGTCCCCAGAGCCGTCTTGGCCTCCAAACTGCTGGAAAATTGATGTTTTGATTTTTTTCATTTGCTGAATTTAGATTTTGTATCCGTAGCTCAATATTTTGGAGCAGAAGAGAATGTGAAAAATTGGGACATACTGGTTTAATCAAGCTGTAATGAATGACAATTATTTCACTCACTAGGAGACGTTCGATTGAATCAAGTGTGCAAACTTCCGCTATTACGCTTCACACTTTTAGCTTTCGCTACAACGCGAAAAATTGGTCACGCTCCGTTGTAAAATTAGCTTTGAGGCATTTACAATTCCTCTCGATCATAGTTTTTGATAAGGGGTTGATGAGCGTCATTAAGTGAGGACATCAAAATAGCTCTCGAACTTTTGTCAAGTGTCAAAATACCTTCACATAAAATTTCTGAGATCGGTAAAAAATTCTTTTCTTCGAAATTTTCACCTCTTTGGTAAAATAGAGACGCTTTATCACCCACTTCCTCATCCGTCGTGTGTCACTTTCTCAGAAGAGGCAGTACAGTCAATTTTTAGACGTGCGCCCTTTTCATCCCTTGAGACGCCTCTAAAATTTGTTTATTTTCAAAATGATAATAGAATAGGGCACATCCTATTTTCATCTTTGTTGCTCACGTAGCTTTTGAAGCACCGCTACAAATACAAATAAGACTAACGGAAACAAATAAACACAGTACGGAGAAATAGCAAGAGAAAGGAGGCCCTTTGACGGCGCAGAGATACAACTATTCGTGCTTGCTGGATGTTTGTGTTGCATCTGCAAAATTGAAGGCGCGATGGCGCAAGCTGTGAATTCACGATGTTTAATGCTGCCAATGAGATGTCGTAAGAAAATTTAAGAAACGAGGCTCGATTATTACGACTCTCCTATTTACGGCTGTGTTGCTCATTCATCCTGTAAAACATCGCTACATTTACAAATAAGACAAACTGAAACAAACAAGGTATAGAAATAGAGCGAAGTAAAAGAAGGCGCGTTGGTGACGGCGCAGAGATGCAACTATTCGTACATGATGGATGTCCGTGTTTCATCTGCAAAATTGAAGGCGCGATGGCGCTATGTGTGAACTCGTAATGCTCCGTTCTATGCTGTCAGTGAGGTGTCGCTGACATTCGAGAGAAACATTTAAAAAACTAGGTCCGATTACGTCTCGACTCTCTCGTATCTTAATTTATTTTTCTTTTTTCAATTTGAAGTTTGATTTTTTTTTAAATGTATTCACAAATTGACATCTACGGCTCGCACGTACCGCGATCCCTCACAACTCGCCTGGCACGTTTTTTAAAGAAGTCTCCTGGCAATTTGACCGGACTTCAGCATCTAAGGGTTAATGGAAATATCATTAAAATACATATAACTACACCTTGTTTGCTAAAAACTCAGGATTCAAAAGGGGAGCCAAAAGTAACCATTCACAATCAGTCAGTGAATTTCAATAAAATCTAGTTGTGTTTAATCTTGAAAAATTAGGCACCAATCGTTGGCATATACGTCTATCGCCTAACCTTGTGTCGTAGATATACTGTTCTGCCATAGTTAATGTAGTTTTTGTTTCTAGAAACCGTAGGAAATGGCTCCCTCATCGTTTAATCACTAATTTTTTTCTTGAACAACAACTCGAGTAATAGACGCTTCTTCACAGAATTGTGTCGTCATCAAGCCTCCAGTTCGTGTCAAACGTCAGCATCCAGTTGAAGCCACTGCCGGTGTTAAGCAGAGACGCAGCTCCAACATTCAGAATGAATCCGTTCAGAGGACCACACAAATGAACTTTTCACCCGCAAATGCAGATGCTGCATGTGTGAGGAATTCACGATTTGACTGTTGATTTTTATGTAAAAGTTCGCGAGAAACACGATGGTGCCTCTAGTTTTCTCTGAAATCCACTCCCTAGCTCAAAAAAAAGCTCTCAAGTTGAGGCCAAAATGGAGGGAATATCCCACGCTATCCTGAGAGTCCACCTCTACATCAAGGCAAACTCTCCATGCAAAGATAGGGAGCAAAAACATAAGCAGTGATGCTGTGTTTTTAGTTTTAGAGTCCCCAAATAAAGTGGCAGCCCTGTCAATTCACTTTCTCCCTATTTTTGCAATGAGAGTTTGTTTTGATGTAGAGATTGACTCTATGAATGACGTGGGAAATCCCCTTCATTTTGGCCTCAACTTGAGAGCTTTTTTTGAGCTTGGGAGTTAATTTCAGAGAAAACCAGTGGCCACATCGTGTTTCTCGCGAACTTTTAAATAAGAATCAACAGTCAAATCGCAAATTCCTGACACATGCAACATCTCCATTTCGGATTCATATCAACTACGCTTCACACTGCCGTGGATAGGGAAAACGCTGTATGAACATCCAAATTTTCTCCGATTAAATTTTTATTTGTGAGGAGAGTTATGGATATTTTTTCTTGAAATTTTCAGATAGTTTAGGTCTGATCGCGAATATGATTTTCTGACACTGTGAAGGAAAAATCTTCACGTCTCTCGGAAAATTTGTATTAATCAAAGAAAACTTGGCAACGTCCGAAGGCTCAGGCGGCGGATTCTCTTAGCACGGCAGTACAGCCAAAAGTCAATGGACCACTGTACAGGATCAAATGGACTTCATTTTAAAATTAGGAACTACAATTTCTAACTCAGTTTCGAAACAACGTATGTGCAATTAGTTTCCTTAGGTACGTACGTGATTTTACGGATGAGCCAGAAATATTAATGCTTAATTGCAAAATGTAGTCCAAATGTTTACTCGCTAGAATTACATGTAGAACAAGTATAACACATTCTATACCTCCAATTTCATTTCTCTTTCAGAAGAAAGTACGTGTTTGTCTTAGTTAATTCAAACTTCCTGTGATGAAAAAAAGATCTGCAGTGTACCCAAGTCAAATCGAGTGTAAAACTGAATTAAGTTCTCTTATAACTAGTTCTTCTTAAGTAGACTTCGTCCATTCATTCAATTCTTGTGATTTTTCATCAACGCATGAAATTTTGTCCGTTACACTTTATAACTGTGCATTTTCCTCTGCATGACACTCTACATGTGTAACATGCTCATGATTATCGCATCTGAAATGTTGCATGTTCTAACGTTGTTCGAAAATGTTTAAATGACTAACAATCTCTTCGTGATGGGCACTTCCTTGACAGTCTTTAAAATCAGCTCCAATCCATCCAGAGATATTAAGAGACGTTCCATTTTTACTTTTTCGAGGCTCTGAGGTGTGTACTTTGCGATGAATCGATCGATCTTACATTTAAGCCTATTGAAAAGTATCGATTATCAAGGTGTTCGCAACGAGTGCGAGTATGAACGTAGGACCCCAATTTGCCTCTGGATTTATCAGTCTTTGGAGAGGAGAAATCCAAACCACAATAGAAATTGCATGATAATACTCTAACACAAATGTGATTATTGGATGTGAAATGTTGCATGTCTAACATTGTTCGAAAATGTTTAAATGACTAACAATCTCTCCGCGTTGAGCACTTGCTTGACAGTGCTGACAATTCAAAATTAGCTCCAATTCATCCGGAGACATAAAGAGACCCTCCACTCACCGCTGAATCGAGTTTGTGATTTATTACTGTTTAACTTTGAATTCAAGTACACTGAGGAAAACTCGTGATTATCATCAGCAAAATAGTGGTATTTTGTATGAACTCCTGATAATGTGTAGCTATGAAAATATGTGCCAGTTTTTCACTGGTTATACTGATACAAGTTTCCCTTAACAATAAAAAAATACTTCTAGTATCGTTCATGGCTACCTTCAACTATGAGTCCATTTAAAACACATCTAATTTGGTAATTATAATCGCAATTTGCCTTCATTGTACTGTTTGTACAGTTGGACGTATTTCTGTCGAACGGAACTGTGTGCATGATAACATGAGCCCTGAGATCCATACGGATGTATGCATAACAGAGCTCACTTCCTAATGCACATAGTTCTGTTTGGCAGAAATACGTCCAATTCAGTGAAGCTTTTCAGAATTATTTTCATATTTGTATCGCTGTTCGTTTTCTGCTCCCCCCTTTAGGTCCCGCCCGCGGCCAAGTGTCCTTCCCAGGAGAGGCCCCAGAATCCTGGTTCTCTTGTCACATATGCAAAGCTCATTTCCTGACAAAATCCAAACTGATGAATCACATTATGAAGCACTCGGAGGAAATTAAATGCGAGCACTGTGACATGATTTTCTTGCGATTGGATGTTCTGAAACGGCATATCATGACCGAGCACCAGGAAGAAATTAAGACGGGCGTAGAAAAGAGAGCCTCTGAAGACCCTGCGGAGGCAGTTTCCGAGGACCAATCGGAGACAAATTTTGAGGAGTATGCGGAGGCGAATTCCGAGGGCCATGCAGGAACACTTTCCGAGGGCCATGCAGGAACACTTTCCGAGGGCCATGCAGGAACACTTTCCGAGGACCCTGTGGAACCGATCCGTGGACGTCGGAACCGAGGAACTGCGGCAGCCTCCTGGCCTCCTGAGGGGCAACTCTTGACTTGCAACGACTGCAACAGAACTTTTAAGGCCCGGAGTAATCTACTGGATCATATGAAAGTTCACAGCGGAGAAACGAAGTGCAAAATTTGTCACCGCGTGTTCTCAAACGTCGCATATATGAAATTGCACATGCGCCTGAAGCACGGACATGCTGCAAGACCGAGCGGAAAGAGGAAATTGGCTTCAGGCGCAGGGCAACCAAAGGCTGCGGACTCTACTCCAATGGCTACACTACAAGCTGTTACTTGTCAAGATTGCGAAAGACGGTTTAAAACGCTCTCTGCCTTAATCAACCACAAAAAAACGCACGCCAAGTACGCCAAGAAACCAGACTTTGTCTGTAACGTCTGTGGACATGGCTTTGAAACTCCTTCTGACTTGGTCAACCATAGGAGGACCCACTCTCGACCTGCAGAAATTAAGTGCAAAATGTGCAAAAAAGTATTCTCAAATAAGAACAATTTGAGATTTCACGTAGCCATCACGCATTACTGAACCAGGCACGCCTTGAATTTTGATTTTTCCTCTAACTAATTTCTGGTTTCTGACTCTTTACAGTTAGTTATTTTTGTTTTTATAATATAGTAATACATTGAATCAGTCACGTAGCCATCACTCATTCCAATACCAGGAACGCCTTGAATTTTGATTTTTCCTTTACCTAACTTCTGGTTTCTGACTCTTTACAGTTAGTTATTTTTGTTTTTATAATAAAGTCATACGTTGAATCAGCCACGTAGCCATCACTCATTACCGAACCAGGCACGTGCTGAATTATGATTTTTCCTTTACCTACCTTCTAGTTTCTGACTCTTTACAGTTAGTTATTTTTGTTTTTATAATATACTAATACATTGAATCAGTCACGTAGCCATCACTCATTACCGAACCAGGCACGTGCTGAACTGTGATTTTTTTACCTGCCTTCTAGTATCTAAACTCTTTACAGTTAGTTATTTTTGTTTTTATAACATGATTATAAATTTAACCAGTTATATCACATTCTCTATTCTTTACTGTTTAAAGTACGCACAAAGTTTGGCGAGGAGTTATTGAAGGTCTTGTCCTGTGATTTCTTTGCCTTTGATCACATCGCCATGTGATGCATCCGTGCACACAAAATTAATGAATTTACTTCGTTAATCTTTCTTCTTTAATATTTTACAAAGATACGACTCCTGAGGGCTGATTATTGAATTTGTTGGACAAAGCGGCAGAAAAAAAATACAAAGGTAAAACGGAGCGATTAAATTGGTTGAAACGGGCGGTTCATAAAGACTGAAGAGGAAAGCAAAAGACTATAACTTTAAGGTATTTTTTGGGTTGCCGGTAGTTATTCTATTACTTACCCCCTCTGTCCATATTGCAATCAACTAATTACTTACCCTCTCTGTCCATATTGCAATCAACTACTTCTAATATTAAGGTTGCTCCATTTTATCTATGTCTTCTTAGCCCATCGCTTTGACCATCAATCGCCTTAATGGGCCTGGAGCAACCGTCAAATCCAGAAAATCAACCCCAAATCTTGGTTTCAGCGTGTGAACTTTGCTTCCGTTAAATGGGAATCGAATTACGTCTCATAAACAACATTTTTGAACATGAAGCTAATTTTTTCAGCTTATCTGTAAAAAAGCTTGTTTTCAAAAGGAACCAAAATACATTTATATTCTTATTATAATGAAACAAAAGAATTAGTTCCTCATCACTTAACTTGTCTACCTTCATTTCTCATTTGGGTGATATTTAGTATCATTATTCGTCTCATTAATTGTAAGAATATGATTTTTTCCTCCGAATTCTTCCTCATTTATGTTATATTTAGTTTCATTACTTGTCTCATTAGTTGTAAGATTATTATTTTCTCCTCCGAATTTTTCCTAATGTATCGTTATTAGTCTCACTAGTTATAAGAATATTATTTTCTCCACCCAATTCTTCTTCATTCTTGGGTGATATTTAGTTGCAATACTCGTTACATGTAAGAATATCATTGTTCCATTTCCCGTGAATCAGCCATTCAGCCACCTGTCATTCATTTGAAAATAGATTTGCTAATAGACGCTAGTGTCCCTACAACACTCTCGCATATCATGCCTGTGTTAACTTGATTTTCAGTTTTTTGTTCATTTACTCATATTATCTATCCTTAAAATTGTCATTAATATTGTAAAAAGCTAGGATATGTATAAATTACATTTTTAATTTATGCAGTTAAACACATAAACCCACCTGTACGCATCCGTGTCATTTTAAGTAGAAAAGGTATTTTTTTTAATCTGATACTCTTCCGTTCTTTGTATTGCTTTTAAGAGTATTCTTGTTGCACTTGATTGCACAAAATAGTGATCTCATTGGAAGTAATTTCACAGTAATAAACTAGGTAAAATCTCTTTTGGAAATGCTGTCAAAGAAAATAGTTGTCAGTGATAATAAATACACATAACTATTTAGTTTTTGTAAGTGTAATTTAATCATGTGTCATTAAAATTTAGCGCTTTAGTGGACCTTTCAGGAGCTTATGTCTAGTTTTCTGAAAATATATTTTCGCGTCACAGGTCTTATTAAGTGTGAATTCTACATATTTTTTCTTTCTATTTTTACCTTGTTTTTTTTTTATTTATTCGAGTTTGTCCAAGTCAATTTAATAGCATCAATTCAACTTCGAATTTTCTGTATCGTCAATTATATATTGAAGCGATATATTCTCAACTCTAAAGTTCTCTGAAAAAGAATGAACATGTGTGGCGATAAAAGCTATCAAAAACGCAAAAATCTTAGTTCCATTAATTTTTGGATGTTCATTTTAATACGTGCCCGTCTTTGTTCCGAACGTGTATGCCACATTCATTAATTTTATTTTTCTACAATTTTTGTCATTATTTTTTAACATAAGTGAATTTCGAACTTTATGAATACCGCACTGAACTTTACTTTACCATTTGCCCCATCGGAATTATTGCTCATTGAGGAACTCAGATCGTAGAAAATAGCATGTTCACCACAGTTCTTTCAAATGAAGAACAGAAAACAGTAAGGTATTTGAGTAGAAAAGGAGAGGGAAGTATATTCATCATCAAAATATGTAGCATTTAAGGTGGTATATGTTCGTCCTCCTTATTCTTATCCACTCTTTCTTAGGGTGTGCTTATTCCTTTTTGTTTCCCTATTTCCTTGTGAAATATCCTTTTATAACCGTATATTGTATTCTGATACAAGTTACATACATCGTCCATAAGTTTGTTCGTCTGAAAATGATACTATTTCGCAAGTCTCAGCTTTTGTACATCATCTTTCGAATATCGATCTCTTTTTGTACACCAAGCTCTCAGGAATATTTTGAAACGTTAAATGTTTCGAATCTTGTTTTTCTGAATAGTTCCCAGAAGTAATACATCTAAATTTTTTCTGTAATTTTCACTTGTCCATTCAGTATCACTTAGCTGTAAGTTTATGGTTGCCTTATACTTATTTTAAAAGTTTCCGATATTCATTAAAGTATTCGTTCTTTTCGCAACAAGACTGATTTCTTTTTTCTGACTCTAAACATATTTTCCCAATTTTTTGCTTTGTATGCTCCATACATTCTGCCTCTCCACCTTATTTTAAACAAAAAATTATACTGACAAAATTGTGCAATAAAATTAAAATAATTCTGACTGATGTACACTGAGGCAGTCCGAGAACATAGGTATAAAATAGGACAGGAAAAGGCGGGTACGAGGCTGAAAAACACAATAATTTACAAAAGAACAGTTAGAAACACTTATCTGGATTGGAAAACTAACGACTCGTACGTTGTTTCTAAAATGACCTAGAGATTTTAGTTCCTAATTACAAAATGTAGTCCAATCGATCCACATTTTGCAATGCATGTGTAAACCTAATAGTTCAGATTCTTTGAACACTTTTGTACGATTTGTGCCATTTTTCCTCCCGCACACATAAGTCCGTTTATGGATTGGTCAGAAATAGCAGTTCCTGATTGCAAAATGTAGCCGTATTCAATTTTCAAACGGATAAAGTTGAAAAAAAAAAAACAGGAGTTTCAAAATTTCATTTCCTATTTTAATGTTTTGGAAGGAGACCAACCAAAAGTTCCACTTAAAAATTGTTGCAATCTTTTTGCACGTACAGCGTCATTCAAAAGTCACGCACCACTGGCTATAAATTTAGTTCTAATCATGATATTGATTTGCGGTTTAAGACGTTTTTCTTCATATCGAGGGAGAAACTTGTCTAGGTACTTTCCAGTTTTTTATCCCCTCGGGGGAAGGGGGCCGGGGGGCTACTCAAAAATTTCAAATGGCCACCCCCCTCATTGCCAGTGGTGCGTGACTTTTGAATAACCCTGTAAGATGATCATCTCCACAAAATTTTAAGCGGAACTTTTAGTCAGTCTCCGTCCCTAAAATTCAAATATGAAAAGAGATTTTGAACCACCACAACGCATATTTGACCGATTCGCTTAGCTCTATTGAAATACTGATCCGATGCGTAAATTACTCATGGAGGCTCATCTCATGGCGTAACGAATTGTTCACTCAATTATGTGCTTTGTTATAGATGATAATTGGCAACAAGAACTCTTCCCTTCAGTTTGTCCCCTCACAGCGCATAGATGCAAAACCTGCCACAAAACGTATAAACATCGCTCAAATTTGCTGCATCACATGAAAAGTCATACCAGCGACACAATCTGTCCGATTTGCCAAAGGGTCTTCTCCACCACAGGAAGCTTGAGGCGGCACATTTTACTGACTCATGGAGCGGAATTACCCTCTTGAATCTGCTGAGAGGAAGGCCAATTTTGAAGTGCGATACCCGCCAGAGCGCACGCGCGAAGTGAAAATACGTTTCTTATCTAAAAAATGTTCCTGAATTCCTTCAGTTTACACCCTCGATTCATGAATCAAATTCATTTATTCTGTATCGATTAATGTATCAATGTATAGAAGATTAACTGATTAAACAGCGGGTATCAAGGTTAATTTTCAAGTAAGTACCACCAAAACGTCTCGGCTGAAAACTCAGCCTTCCTCAGTTGGATAAAAAACAGTAAAAAATTGCCCACCGCTTGTTATCCACTGTTTTATTTGTTATCTTTGTATATCTTGCCACGGGCTGCGGAGCATCAAACGTATATCATATATCAATGTATGTTGCCTTCTTTAAAGTGACATTCTGGATTTCTGGAAAATAATCCCAACTCGCTCCATTTGTACCCAAGGATTTATTCGAGAAAAGCATGAATCTGTAATGGGGAGGGGGGGGGGTTGCTCTCTCGTTTTTTTTGGCGTCCCAAGATGATTCTGTTGCAAAATCTCCAATGTGCCTACCAAATTAATCAAAGCAATAGCTTCTCAAAAGTGAGTTTAACTCTGTCAGTTAAATTGAACTCCTTAATATTGCTACTAATAAAATTTAGTTCAGTATATACAGGAGAAAATGAAAGATGTGTACCTCTTTTTACAACTTCCATTAAAAATGTCTCGTTGTGACTAACACGTGTTGTCCTATTTAGTTATCTCAATAAAACGAATTTATTATAGCGTTGTTAAATGTATTTGTCCAATTATGGAATTTTCCCAACTCCTAGCGATGGTGACATATTATAAGAAAAATTCCAAGATGTTCAACTCTCCCTTCTCAGTACTCAGTTTATTCGTCGCTTGGCTGACAGTAAGGCGTAACTAAACTTGGCAATGAACTTTGTCGCCCATACGGTTCAATGCTTTCCACGGCTCATCTCGCTTTGCAGATGCGCCCTTATGTCAGCCAGGCGACGAATTATCTAAAATTGAAATCATACCGCATCATTCGCACTTTGGCTGAGTGAGGCACCCCAGATCAATTTGCCAAAGAACGAATAAGTCCAGTTATTATTATTTCGCTTTCATTATTTTTTCTAATATCGCTGAAAAAAAATATTCGTAGAATTTACCATTCCTTCAGGCTGTATTTCACACAGCGTGAAGGAATGGTAAATTCTACCAATATTCAAGTCGATTCTGCCTGGAGAATGGTTACCTGTGTCAGTATATAGTAACGTTTATCTTCTTTTTGGCAAAATTGACTCTAAATTGATGCTGTGTGAAATACAGCCTGAAGAAATGGTTAATTCTGCCAACCTCTTTTTTCAGTGATATTGTTTCAATTTTTTTACTGTGGTAGGCGAGCTTTCGAAAACAAGCAGTCTCCAATTTGTATCCACATTTTTAAGGTGGATGTTCTTTTATAACATTCAATGCTCGCTTACATAATTTGTTGCTCGTTGTATGTTGCTCTTTGCTGTAATCGTTATGATCTTTTTCCAGGCCTGCAAATATTCCAGAGGCGCGTCATAGCTTCCGCTTTGCTTCCTCAGTACACGTGCAACATTTGTCACAAGTCATACAGGCGTCCCACAACTTTGTCCACCCACATGAAGAGTCACACCGGCAAAACGACTTGTCAGTTATGTCACAAAGTTTACTCGACGGTTGATGGTTTAAGATACCACATGTTGGTCAATCACAAAGGCGCCACAAAAAATGTTCCATAATATCCTACTCTCTTGGTTAGTCATCCAGCTCTGAATCGCGAAAAGTCCCAAAAATTAATTCATTTTCACATACATTACCTATTGTTACTCAGACATACTCCATCATTGAACATTTTAGAACTTATTCAGGTATTATAGTTTCATTTTTATTGCCAAACTATCATTGCCATTTATTACTTGCTTCTCTTTCACTTTCTCCCTTCATAGACGTGTCACTTAAATAAACTAATGATTACATTCCGGTTAATGTTATTTCCTACTTTCTCCTCACAAAATACTAAATCTTAAACTACCTTTTTTGCCTCCATACGATAGACGCGCAGAAAAAGTCTACTCGAGGTAACAGGAACATTGAATCTCAGAGGCTCCTTCAAGAACTGTTGATACTTCAAACACATCACCGAAGTATGTTTAGATGTATGACCCAATTGACAAATGTGCGTTCAATCGAGGGCCATTCTGCCGCGCTAAGAAAGAACGACTTTTGAACCTCCAGAACCGCCAAATTTCCTTCATTTGAAATTGAAATGAAGGAAATTTAGCGGTTCTGGAGGTTCAAAAGTCGTTCTTTCTTAGCGCGGCAGAATGGCCCTCGATTGAACGAACATTTGTCAATTGGGTCATACATCTAAACATACTTCGGTGATGTGTTTGAAGTATCAACAGTTCTTGCAGGAGCCTCTCAGATTCAATGTTCTTGTTACCTCGAGTAGATTTTTCTAAGGATGGTGAAATGGTGTGGACCCAGCACCATTTCTCCAACTTGTTACGTACATTATTCGGACCACTTCTTTGTGTTTTTTTCTCATTCGTTTTATGTTTATTCTCATTTAGTAAATGTGTTGATGTTCTAGATCTTTTCTCTCTTCAAGAGCCGACTTTCGCAGAAAACTCGGAAGCTTCGAAACTGTTCACCTGTGAAATCTGCGATAAGGGCTACAAATTCCGCACGGGTTTGTTGCATCACATGAAGCAACATACTGGAGAGACTATCTGCCAATTTTGCCACAAGAATTTCTCAAGAATTTACGATTTAAACCGGCATATTTTCTTCGTGCACGCCAACCGCACGAAAAGAACTTGAGGCAGTAATCAATCGCACATCCATCTACTGCCAAGCGGTAAGTGGACCGCGTTAAGCAGAAAGGAACCAAGCCACATCAGCTATTTCAAAATTTAATGGGGCAATTTAATTTATTTCATTAAACGGTTGTGCGGATTTTCTTGCAAATTTCCCCTGAATTTTCCGCATAGTCCGAAGAAAATTCCTTTAAGTTTTCAAAGGAATCCGCACAAACGTTTTTTCTTTGATAAAATTAAAATGTCCAGTTAAATATGGTAGTAGCTGATGCGGCTTGATTCCTTTCTGCAAAACGCAATGCAATTGAGTGTGCGAAGCCGCCAGCAGGGCGTGGGCCCTTTAAATCCGTTACAAACCGGGAATTTTCTAGGATAGAAATTTCCCTTGAAATATCAAGGGATTTGATTAAAAAATACCAGAATCCATCCATCTCGCCGCTTTTATTGAGCTTAAAGGTTTTTTAACAACCGGCCGAATTAATTTTTTGCTACATCATTAGAACTTTTCGAAGGAATAGAGAATATGTTAAGTTTGAAACTAAAATTAAAGTCATTTTATTGCTCTTTGTCATGCTTGACACTAGATAATAATCGAAAAAGATTTGGTTTTTATTTTCTCGCCAGAAAAGGCTAAAATATTGTAAATTTTTTCGTTCTCTTTGTTTTGCGCATGGACTTGGACTTAAATTTTTTGTGTCTTTTTTGTTGACTTCTTGGTTAAATTTATGAATAATAACTCAATTTTATCTGTTTATTGGTTCTTTTTTTTATTTGTATATATCTTTTTTCGACAACGTCCTCTTATTTGCTGCGACCTCGTTCATCATTTTCTTGATGGCTCCTTGGACTTTTTTTCAGTCCTGCGCTCTTGTCGTCTCATTTACACATTTTGGCTGAGTTAATTAATCAATTTATTTAATTGACTTCGATAGGCTGTCGAATGACATTCCTTGGCAAACCGTTGCTCTACTAAGAAGAAGGCGTTACCTCTTTTTATTTATTGAGCCTTAGGACGTATAGAGTTATCTAACAACAGAGCTCATTTTAAATTGCGTTTACACCTTTTTGTTGCCAGTAAAGCCACGAAATCACAGGGTTTTTCCGATCAAAGTTTTTCGTCAGTATCACCGCGAGAAAAAAAAAACGGAGCTTAAATTTTCAGGCGTTGCAAAATTGCTGCTGATTTAATAGGGATTTTAAGGAAACCCCTATTTGTATTAAAATTTTGTAGCGATTTTTCCGGCAGGTTTACTTATTAAAACTACAGATTTCAAGGAAAAATTCTAAGCAATCCTAAACATTTTGAACATGAAAATGATCGTTCTACTTTTGTCTTAAGCGTCGAGTCTTACGAATAGGAGGTGTGCATTCCAAACTTTTTTTCTCGTTTCTAACCTGTTGCGACTCAACGTTGCCACTTTGCCAGATTGTGCAATAAATTATAAATATTCTTCATTGGTTTACATGGGGAACAATATTGATCTGGTAACAAAGATGTGACTTGGTGTTTTTCTGTTAAAGTCAGTCCCAATGGTGTATGAAAAAATCCGAGAGCGGGCTAATCTTTCGCCCTCTCCTGTCCGCCATTTTTTCCATCTTTCCCACTCGTCTATAGCTCTGTTTACCAGAAATACGTCCAGATGGACCGAGTTCATTAGAAATTAACCAACCCACATTTTCGAAGAAATTGAGTTAAAAATGTGTTCGAGTTCCACCAGCCGTATATTTTCTCCTGCCAAAAACTGAAAGTCGAAGTACAGAAATTAGTTTGTGAAAAGAGGGGTTAAAGTTTATTTTCTGCTTTGAGCCTCATGCAGAAATAAAACCTCAAACCTCTTTTTTTCAGTTTCAACAAAATGTGGGTCGGTTCCTTTCTGATGAACTCGGTCCGAATAAACGAAAGCTTTTTTGGTTTTGCAGAATAGGAGCGCAAGTGATGTCATAAAACCCTAAGTTTATTCTCTGACTTGTTTTAGATTTTAATCCCTCGCGCCACTTCAACTCGTCATTCCTTCCTGGGGCATCAGGCGGTTTCCCTTGCGACGCCTGTGATCGGACGTACAAGTATCGCACAAATCTGTTGAATCATATGAAAAGTCACACCGGCGATACAACCTGTAAAATCTGTCGGAAGGTTTTTTCAACCGTTGGCATCTTGAGACAACACATGCTGTTAATTCACCGACAAAACATTCCTCAATGAGTATAATAACAGGCCGTGAACTTCAATGGGAAGAGTGACCTATATTAAATTAATAACAGTACGGAGTACGTGAACTTCAGTAGGAAGAGTGACCTGCATAAAATTAATAACGCACGGAGTACGTGAATTTCAATGGGAAAAGTGACCTACGTAAAATTTTACGAGACATTTGGATTGCATTTTGCAAAGAAGAACCAAGAGCATTCCGATGTTGCTAGAACTGTGCAACTTTTGCGATAAACTTACTGAAATCATGAGAAAAATTAAATTTACGAGTGTTATTTTCATCTCAAAATTTGTGTCCACTAGAGGGAAGATAAAACTTCGTTAGTTGATCAGTCCATATTCGCAAGGTAAAACAAGTTGCACAATCTCAGCGAAATTGGAATGCTCTTGGTCCGTCAGGTTGGTTTCATAAATTTGGACTGCTCGCCTCCGAAGAGAAGCGAAACCAAGGCACTCGCTTCATCAACGAGTTCTCGTGTCATCTACAACATCAATATATTTATCCTCAATCCAAAAATATTTATGTTGTGCACTTCGACGGTGTAAGCTCGCAACCACTTATCTCGGCTTGCGCCCTCGCAGACCTCCTGTCATACTCTATTTTTTAAATAAAAAACCGCTCGACGGCAATTCTTAAAATCTGTCGTGATTTTTCTCCTCAGTGCCAAGAGAACTCTGCGAAAAGTTCAAGGAATGATGCCGATTTGTTCTCCTTTAAAAAAATAAAAAGGGAGCGGAGATTCTCAAACACCGCAAACGATCGAGGCACGTAGTTGCGGACTTACGTCGTCGACTTGTCATGAATGCGCGAGATTTTGGTGAAAATTTTCCGCTCATCCGCAATTTTTCTCAGATCCAATTCCAACTACTTTACAATCCAATCTATTTTTTTCTAGTATCTGACTCGATCATCAATTCATCATTTGTATCCATTTTGTTTTAATGTTAAACTCTTCTTATCTTTGCTCCATTCAATTACTCAATCGTATCAATAAATTCACTCTATTTTTAAATTTGAAGTGCGCAATTTATTCCTCTCTCCTTACAATCGCAATACACAGCCGAATTCATTCTTAGGCCGTCGAGGCTGCGGTAACGTTGCATGGTGTCAACGATCATGGTGTCAACAAACCCAAAATCTGATCATGGAGTCAACGGTTGTTGACGTCGTGCTCAGGCAGTAAAACGCGAAAACGGGATTTCCTTCATTTTTGCGTCGTACCACATCACATACCTACTCCAGAGTTGGAATAGTTTCGCGCTTGACCTCCGCATCGAACAACGAGGTATACCTACATGTATAGACGTTAGTAATTTGAGGTAAGTGAAAAGCCAAGATTTTCCTTCATTTCCGCGTGATACCACATTACATACCTAGTTCAGAGTCATAATAGTTTCGTGCTTGATTTCCACATTCGAATAGTTATCGCAAATAGTTATCTCCTTGCGTTTATCGCAATGCGAGAAGTATTCATGCAGTCTTACAGACGACGCTCAACGCTGACCACACTGTTCGGCGCAATGCGTGAAGTATTTCTACGGTCTTGCAGGCGCTGATATGAGTTTGACTCTGGCAGCAATGTCTTCGGCGCGATTATTCGCAATTTTGTCTGTGATTTTTGGTCCATCTCTACTTCTGTGCTGATTTCCGGTTCTGTATTTGTTGTACCTTTGGCTTTTGGGCTTGGACGAAAATTAAAGCTTATTTATTTTATATAATGTTCTAAATCATTCTCATTTTCGTGTGTGTATTGAGTGTAATCGTATACAGAAATTTTCCAGACAGCAAATTCAAAATTATGTAAATGTTGATGTAAAATTGAGTGGATGTTCTGTGCTGCAACTTTATGAAGGCGCTTTTTGACTTAATTTTTTTTTTTTTTTTTTTTTTTTTAAATCCATATGGTCTTCTCAGATTTAATTCTATTGACAATTTCTCCCGACTTGTTGGATGAATTCATTCCCTCAAATGAAAAATTGAACAAACAAAACAATAAAAAAATTCTTAAAAAACTTTCGAGACGTATGCTGGCAACTCCTCATATCTGATCCATCGCGATGGTCCGAGAAAAGTCGGAAAACGTTCAGAATTTCCCCCCAAAATTTTGTATCCGCCCTGATTTTATCAATGGCCTAATTAATTTTGGTCTCATGATCGTAATGTGTTCACAGGTCTGATTTCCTGGCCCGTTTCTCCAAGTAACATTCTTGCCAACAGCGAAAAGAAGTACCGCTGTCATGTTTGCGGTTCGGCGTATGTCAACTCAAACAATTTACAAAAACACATGAAATCTCACACAGGTCAGACCAAATGCCCAATATGCCACAAAGTAGCCTCGACCAAAGCCAGTCTTCAAAGGCATTTAATATTAGTCCATAATTCGCGCTAGTGTAACTTTTCATGCCATTTTATCACGCCAGACCAGTTCTGAGGATTGGTCGAATTTCAACTCGACATCCTACCAATAATCTTCCTTGTCATTTTTGTTGTTGTTTATTAAAATGTCTCTATTTTCTTTAAAATCATGAATTCTTCTTTCCCTGTTTTAAGAGTATGACCACCCTGAAAATTTGCTATCAACGGATTCGCAAATATTTTCGTATTGAAATTTTACGAAATTTTAGCCAGTGAAAAATGTTTGATATCCATCAGCAGGGAAGCAAACACCTGCAGGTTTCGGACCGTGGTATTTATATTTAAAAAAGAGGGCTTAGAATGGGTTCGCCCTTACACGTGGGCATTTTATTTTACATCATCATTTAGGTTTTGTCTTTACGAAAAAGAAAAATTATACCCCAGCCGCCTCTTCGCCCATTCTGCCGTGCTAAGGAAAAACGCCGTATCAACATTCGACAGTTGCCTAATTTCCTCTGATAAAACAAGAATTTTAGAGGAAAGTATTCATATTTTAAGTTGAAATTTTCAGATATTTTAGATTGAATTACAAACAAAATTGTATGAAAAAATTGATGAAAAATATTCACAATTTCCTCATTAAAGTTTCCCTTTATTGAAGAAATTATGGCAATGTCTGAAGGCTCATTGCCGTCCAACTCTTGACGGGGCAGCATCTCCTAAGGGCCACGCGGGGGGAATATTTTCCAAAATTTGTTTTTTTTTTTTTTTATTTATTTATTCAGTTCAAATCTTTAAATCAAAAACAAATCTTTAAAAAGAACTCTCCTGAAATTTAGAAAACTCGTCGGCTGCTGCACGAGGGGAAGGGGGTGGGGGGATCCACGAACATATCGAACAAGTCATCATTGCACGACCACGATTAGAAACTTTAGAGAGAGGATTCTCTAATTTTTTTTGTTGAAAACAGGGTTTAGCTCATCGAAGACAAGTTTCTGTATCCAAATTTTAATTGTAATAATCTGCAAGGACTTTGCTTGTTTACGCACAGCCACGGAAATCCCATTTTTCAGCGAAATAACTTGAGAACTTTCTCATAAAAATAATCAGCATAAAATAATCTAATTCAAAATATGCATTCATTGTTATAATGCGGACCATCTCTCAACTGATTTCACATAGAGAAAAAAAAGAGGGTTTGCATCTTGAGGATTGTTTACCCTGTGACGCAGGTCCGTACAACATGGCGTCGACATTCCAGCAGAATCCGGAAGTTTAAGTATGAGCAACGGACCATGACGTCCAATTTTTTTGCTTAAATCAACTCATGATATAATTTCAAACACTTTATAAATTATGCCTTTTTCCATAAACTACACCATTTCCCAGAAAATCGATGATAAAAATCGTCCGTACCGACCGACGTCATGGAAGAAATCCAAGATGCCCGAAATGAAAACCCCTCTTTCTTTTTCTCTATGCTGATTACATACAAAACCAACTTAATACTGATACTTATCACAGTAATTGAAATAGCCTTCATACACGCTGGCCTTGTCGATTTCCTTTGACAATTTTGCAGTCGTGAATGCATAGCTGAATTGCGCTCCAGCTAGAATTGTATTTAGCAAATGGGTGCTTTTTATACGAGGATTGAAAATAAACAAGTTTTAAGGAATATAACAAAAGAATATGAAGTATGCAAAACGATTATCCGGGTATCGGAACTTGGCTGTTTTGAAAACGCCTTCGTATGCGGCGTGATACCTTACGCATTCCGGAGAGTTCAAATAGTTGTATCATTGCGCCGTAAGAATGTGACGGAAGATTAAAATGGAAATAGCCTCCATGCACGCTGGGCTTGTCGATTTCCTTCGACATTTTTGCAGTCGTGAATGCATAGCTTAAGTGCGCTCCAGGTAGAATTGTATTTAGCAAATGGGTGGTTTTTATACGAGGATTAAAAATAAAAAAGTGGTACGGCGTATAACAAAAAAATATGAAGTATGCAAAACGATAATCCGGGTGTCGGAACTTTGCTGTTTTGAAAGCGCTTTCAATTGCGGCGTGATACCTCACGCATTCCGGAGAGTTCAAATAAATGTATCATTGCCCCTTAGAAATGCGACGGAAGATTACAATTTTATAATAATAGAACAAATAATATTTTTAAAATTTGAACGAAGTTCAAAAATACATGCCTATTATGATAATTTAATTTCCCCTGATTGCATTTGGTTAATTACAATTTTAACAGAAACAAATTGTACACCTTTTGGTTTCTCAAAGGTAGAATCAGAGTTAATTTCAGGATTCAACATTAAACACAGAAGAGTCAATTGTAAAATATTATTTTTATCAGAATACTCTAAAAATCTAATTGATGAGTCGTCAATGTTGCAATTTTCTTTTTCTTTAATAGCAATATTAATGCAACACTTAAAAACGCATCTTCATGCATGCGGAAAATGCTACTGCGACAATCCCAACCAGGGTGGCAAAATTTCACGAAAAATAATAGCTTGAAATTTCACTTGAAATATTTTATGAAATTTCAGAAATTTATGAAAGATCTTGAAAATTACGGGTTCCTCCTCATGTTTTGCAAAATGTAAAAATTGTGGCTTTCCTCTATTTTTGTGTGTTCACGTGCGGGTTGCATACTCTAGCCCCTGAAAAATAAGAACCATGTCACATCCTCGCCAAATTTCATGCAATATTTCACCGAAACTTCCAATCATTTATTTCCTTTTTAGGTTTCATGCCACCCTGAATGGAAATGTTGCAAGTGTGAGGAATTTGCGATTTGACTATTGATCCTTATGTAAAATTTCGCGAGGAACACGATGGTCCCACTGATTTTCTCTGAACTCAACTTTCAAGCTCAAAAACGCTCTCAAAGTTGATGCTGTAATGGAGGGGATATCCTAAGCTATCCTGAGAGTCCACGTCTACATCAAGACAAACTCTCTATTCAAAGATGGGGAGCAAATACATTAGCAGGGTTGCAACTTTATTTGGGACTCTAAAACTGGAAACACTGCAACCCTGCTAATGTATTTGCTCCGTATCGTATTTGTCTCGATGTGGAGGTGGACTCTCAGGATAGCGTGGAATATCTCCTCCATTTTGGCCTCAACCTGAGAGCTTTTTTTAGCTTGGGAGTTAATTTTAGAGGAAACCAGAGGCACCATCGTGTTTCCCACGAACTTTTGCATACGAATTAACAGTCAAATCGCAAATTCCTCACACCTGCAACATCTCCATTGACGAAGAAGGGAATAGCTATAGTTCGTTGCTGGCTCTCTTAGCTTTAAAGACGTTATAGACGACCCTTGGTCTATGGGTTCAGGCTATAGAAGCGCTCCTCTTTCACTTTGTCTTCCTTGCCTATAGCTATGCTTATCAATTTTTCAAATTATCAGACCGCTACACTGCAAAGTTAGTCATCTTGGTTTCCAATGCCACTTGTCCTGATAGCTTCATTACTCGCAAAGGCTCACTAATATCCACCTATACATGTAGTGCACCAGTGTCATTATGCAGAGAGACTTAAACGCAGAGTAAGAACTTTTTCAAAGTTGAGATTTTCGATGAGAAATTTTATTAAAGACAGCTACTTCTCCATTTCCAGCTATAATTGGATTAAATTTTGCAAAAAGGAACCACTAGCATTGCAATGTTGCTAAGATTGTGCAACTTATTTTGTCTTAGAGGAAAAACCCGATTATCCATTAATAGTTTCTATTTTACTCGCTATGAACTGTAAATTTAAGACAAAAATTACCATCTAAATTTCATAGTTTTTCACGATTTCTGCAATTTTATTGCAAAAGATGAAGTTGTACAATCTTAGCATCATTGCAATGCTGGTGATTCCGTTTTGCAAAATGCAATCCGATTTTTCCTTATCGTTGGCGAGATGCCGGTAACTCCTCCCTTCTGATTTTTGGCCTCTCTCGTTTCAGCCCTCCGCCTGCCGGCGTACGTGACGAAGATGCGTAACAAACGAAAGCGGATGAGGAAGGGGGCCGCAAGGCAGGGGTTCCGGGAGTCGGACATGAGGGAGGCCGTGCGGATGGTCATCAAGGACGGGGTCCCCTTGCGAAAGGTCCTCAAAATGAAGAACGTCAAGCGGTCCACGCTCAATCGCTACGTGAAGCTGGCCAAGGCGAACCCCTCGGCGAAAATCCACATGAACGCCCACAACGGTCAGAAGATCCTCAAATCGGACCGCCACGAGGATGCTTTCATCGAGCTCATGATCACGTGCTCCAGGTAAGAGATTCCAACAGGATTTTCTCGCTTAGAAGTGGAGATTGGGTCACTAAACCTTGTGTTTTCTTTTTAATATGCTGAACAGGGTGTGTAGCATCAGGAAAAACCGGAAAATATTAGGAATTTTGGCCAATCAGAAAAACTCAGGAAAATATCAGGAAAATCGGACGTTTTATCAGGAATTTTTCTTATGCGAATCTCCTCAGCGGAGAAGGTCTTACTGATTTTTGCCTACCGTGCCAGGAGTCGAGAAAAATCAGGAAAATATCAGGAATTTTCAAAATGAAAAATTCAGGAATTTTTTACACAATATCAGGAAAAATCAGGAAAATGTCAGGATTTTTCAAAATTAAAAAATACTAGACACCCTGCTGAAAGAACCAGCGGGCTCATTGTTGAATTGGAGAATTTGCATGCAAATTTTTTTATTGCCTCATCTGAAAGTGCTTAAAGAGCTGGTTTCACATTATTTTTTACAACTTTTTTCTGATATGGAAAGTAGTATAAAAACGGATTTAAAAGTGAGTAAATGCACCGCATAGCGACGTCATCTGGTGGCATTTCCCATTTAAACACATGTATCTTAGCAGATTAGATAATTTTGTCGTGTCTTCTTCAACAATTGTTCGATTCATGAACCAAAAATATCCTCGTGTTCAGTTCACTCAGTAGTTTCCACTTAAACACGAAATTCATCAATTTTCAGGCACGTGCAAATTCTCCGAAGATAGACAAAGCTATATTTGAAGGGGACACGGCGACGGTGAAACTACCAAACCACGTATCTTGTTTACGGTGCTTGAAAATCTCCGATCCCGTTTTATATTTTTGAAGGAGTACAAATCAATAGCATCTCTTGAAATATTCACAGAGTTTTCATCGTACAGAGGAGAAAAAACACGGACGTTTTCAAGAATTGGCGTCGAGTAGTTTTCCAATTAAAAAATAAATTACGACAGAAAATCTACGACGTCGCTAACGGATATCCGTGGTCTGGTAGTTTCACCGTCGATAGGGAGTATGGAGCGATCCTGCAGATTGAAATAGGTGGCTCTCGTAGACTAAGAGGGGGAAATATTGGACTAACAACGGGGTCTCTCGTAGTTTGCCGTTAGTAGAGTCCCTTTATACCCAGAGTTAAGACAACTCGATTATCAGCTGACTGGCAGCCGGCCTTGGCTGGCCATGGAGGCCGAAACGAGTGCACCCAAACGAACGATATTGAGGGGAAAGGATCAGGAATCCGGCGATGTCTGTCACACAAAAACAACAGCATCAACAAATTGATCAATTAAAAAGAAAATGAGATTGGTTTGTGAATAATATCTTAATCTATTTTCATTTTGGACTGATGGTAATAACAATTTACTCTTGATAAACCACAATTAGTTAATATTTTTTCATTATTCTTGTTCAGATTCGACGTACCGCCATCTTGGTGCACTCGTTTCGGCCTCCATGAGTGAGAACCAATCAGAATAGGGTTTTTTTTTAGGCCAATTTCAGCCCAACCAAAAGTGAGTCGTCTTAACTCTGGGTATAAAGGGACTCCAGCCGTTAGCTAGTCTATTACCTACCTCCTTTGTCCATTGCAACCACCCGCCTCCACCAATAGGATCCCTCCATATCCCTTCTGTCATCTTTGTCCATAAATTTCAAAAATCAGCTCGCTGGTGCGTAGAGAACGTGGTGAATAAATGCGTATTTTTGGAGCCAAAATCCGGGACAAGTCCGCTACTAAGAGGACCACGCTTGGCAAAAAAAAAACCAAGCTACAGCTTTTGACAAATTTATCCGGATACTTTCATTTTTTACGAAAGAACGTTTCTGCGAATTCCTTGGAAATTTTAAAGCGTTTGCTTTGTACTATGCAGGAAATACACAGAAAGAGCCTCCCAAAATAAGGGCCGACTTTCGCCCCTTTTTCGGTATTCGATTCAACCATCGAACCAAGGTTTAAGTGGAAGCTTATAATAACAGAAAACTCAGGAAAGAATTTCAAGATGAGTATAGGAACCGTTTTCGAGTTACCGGGGGGGGGGGGGCAAAGAGGTCAAGCTCCGGCCTTATTTTTCCCTATTTTCTTGTTGAATGGACCAGTGGACAAAGTACCTTTTCTTCAATTTTGATTATTCACAGTTAATCAAAGAAACCTCATTTTATCCGTGCGAAACTTTTTAAATTCACATCCGCTTTTGAGTAAGTTGCGATCTTGTAAACGCCGGCTCTTTCAGTTTCGCTTCAGATTACGCTGACCGAAACAAGGTACTTAAAATACACAATCTGATCCAGCCGCCTGCGCTCTCTTCTTTGAATTAAGAAATAGAGACCAAAAACAATCTTATTGTATTTTCAAAATAATATTCCTCGGCATTTTCGAATATGCAGCTCGATTTAAAACCCAAAATTATGAACTTTTTGGTCAACATCATTATACGAGACCACTCACAATGGATACAAAAGAGCGCCTTCAAATCAAACCGTAAACTTAATGCAAAATTCTGATACCACTATTCGTGCGTCACGGCAGTCATTTTGCATACCCGGCCATTTGAAGGGGTATCATTAACTTCAGGCAGCGGGTCACCTCGCGCCTATGGAGCCAGAGCCGAGGGCAACTAAGGAGCCATAGGCGGGGGCGCCTACCTGGCACCTAAGTAGCCAAAGCCGGGGGCTGCGCACCTGACACCTGGAAATCTGTCCGACCAGAAACCACAATCAACGGGATACGTTATCCACCCGAAATTTTACTTCACTGGAAAGAGAAATTCTTAATTTCTACTCGACCGGAAATGTGCCCCAATCGAAAACTTGACTCGACTTGGTAATCGTTCCGACCGGAAATGTGTTCCAACCCAAAATTTGGTTGTTCTCGGATGGAGAAGAACCAATTTCAATACCAATTTATCATTGATTTCCCTAAAAAAAATCGTAAAAATTCGATTTAAGCGATTGATATATCGACTCGTTATCGTTAAAAATCGATTCTACAAAAAAATACGTAGGTGTCGGTGTAGTACAGTCATATTAGGTGCATTTAGTCATCCATGAATGAAAAATGAACAATTTCAATCTAAAAAAATCGTCGATTTTCCGTAAAGAATCTTAAAGAATCCATATCACCGATCGATATATCGACTCGTCAACATTAAAACTCGATTTTGCGTGTAAAAATACGTAGGAATCGGTGTGTTTAACAAGTGTAAACAAGGATAACAACGCTTGATGTATCGAATCTTCCTCTGTCCAGGTGGTTCCCGGGTCTGAACTTCCAGAACTTCCAGAAGCTAGCTCTCCGTCTGGGGTTGGAGCGCGGAGTGAAATTCCCGAAGTCCTACATGGACGCCGGGATGGCCGGGAGATACTGGTTGGAGGGATTCGTCGAGAAGACCCTTTCGACCCTCTCTCAGCGCGCCACGGACTTCCCGACCCTCCTGGAGGGACTGCGCCTCACCAAACCCGGAATGTCGACCGTTTCCATGACTCTTCACGCCGTCGCTAAGCGCTACCCACAGCTCACCGAGGCCAAAATCCTCAATCTCAATGAAATTCAGGTAACTATTTAGCAAGGCATTTATCTTGAAAAAATGCAACTACGGGTAGCCAGGCTAGAAAATAACACGCTCACTAAGGAAACACCACATCCTTCTTTACTTGGATACAAATATATAAAATAATTGAAAAAATAGTACCAGGTTATTTCCCCTTAAAAATTCATGAAATTTCATTTTTGATTCGACTTATCTCTACCAAAAAGAACTGTGCGCGGGTGGGGAAGATGGGATCTGCTCGTGGCGAGCTGGATAAAAAATAATGTAAAAGTCTAATTCCTCTCGGTGAAGTGGAAAAGGAAGATATTGTGCACGATATCAAAACCAGGCCAGGCTCGTTTGGCATGGACACGTGCGGAGAATGGCAGATGGTAGGTTTCCAAAATAGGTATTTGATTGGGTTCCTCCCGGAAGAAGGCGGCGTGGATGTCCAGTCGAAGGTTGGCGGGAGGGAGTGGAGGAGGAGATCAGACGGTGTAATCTGCCCGATGGTTTGTGGGAGAATCGATTCCGATGGCGATTTGGAGTCGCAGAGCGCTCTAGTGCGCTGAGATAGCGGCTTGATATGTACGAGTTTTTTAAGGGCGAGAACAGGGACCCACCTCTCGCTAGAGTGGGCTTTTTATTACATATGAGAAATTGTACATACAACACCGCCGCGACAGATTTCGAATTACAGAGCGTTTCGGTCCGGCTCCTTCGAATTATAGAGCAGTTTGCCGAGCCGCTTAACCGATGAAAAGTTCGAATTAGCGAGGGGAGACACATACATTGATTTTTTTCGAAATAAAGGGATTTTCTCACGGGGATCGACTTCGCCTTCGAATTAGCGAGCGGCCACTGTATGTATGAAATGGAAAAGCGGGATTTTAAATGCAGCAAACGGAACTATGTGCCAACCGTATGCGGGACTCATGAGCCGTGGGCATGGCAAAAGAGCGTTGTGGACACGGCTCATGAGTTAAAGCTCGCGCTGGGCTCGGTCGTTGCCGCTCACTTCAATGGCGCTTCATAATTCCCATTCATTCTTACCGCGCGCCCGAGAACTAACGAGCACACCCAATATTTCCCACCCGCACATAGTTCTGTTTAGTAGAAAAACGTCCAATTCATGAAAAGTCATGAAATCTGGCATCTTGGGGACAAACTCACATTTTCTACCATGAGTCAAATAACACCTAAGGGGTACGCCCCCGGACTGCCTCGCGGTCCAACCCCCCTGAGCGTTTCGCTCCTCCGGCGTTTAGTATTTCGCGTTACTCTTATAATTTTATTTCACAGAGTGTGAATTAACTCTTTGCAGGTGACCTCGCCGGAAGGGATCTCTGTAACCTCGTGCCACATCGTTTCCGCGGACGGGTCGACCCTGGCGCCTGTCCGGGTGTTCCCGAAGGACCACTTCAAGCCGCGACCTGGGGACGAAGCCCTGAACCTGGCCAACCCCCGCAAGGACACCCTCGACCCCGAGATCTTCGCCGAGGTCATCAAACACATCGCCCAACTCACGAAGTCCTCCGTCGGCGAACCGGCCTTGGTCGTCATGGACGACAACGATTGGCACCTGTCGCTCGAGGCCATCGAAGCGGCCAAGAACAACGGCGTCGTCATGCTCGCAGTGCCCGCCCACCTCAGCGCCCGGGTCCTGGCCCTCGAGTCGCTCACGACCAGGTTCCTCGAGGTCTACAACGAGGCTGTCCGAGAGTCCCTCCAGAGGGTGCTCACTGTCGAAAGTATGACGCGTTTCCTGGATGTTGCTGCCGAGGAGGTCTTCACGAAGGAGGCGGTGCGGGATGCGTTCGTGATGTCGGAGCTGTATCGGTTGACGAAGAGCTGTGGGAGGCAGCCCGAAGCGGACCAGGAGACTGAAGCCGATGGTGCGGTTGTTCTTTTGGTTGGTGTGGACGACGTGTCTGACTGTGAGCAGGACCCTTTGAGCCCTGCTTCGTCTGGTGGAGATGGGGATGATGCGGACGGCCTGGATCTCATGACGTTTCCCGATGATTTCTTTGCGTGATTTCGTTACCGAACTTTTCTCGTTTCTTGGCTTATTTATGTTATGAGTACACACATTTTAAGCATTTTACATTCGTCACAAGAAATAAGTCGAATAAGGCATTTTATCAAATAAGTAGGCGGGTACTCTTTTGACAATTTACGGTGCATAACCACGGGTTGCTTCACAGTGTTAAAAACTGAGGAGTGAAATTCGACGTATGACTCACTGTGGATTCAATTTAGCGCCCGAAAAACGCGAGCGATATGAATGCGAGGTGAAATTCGCTACATAATGGTGTACGGCACTTCCTGAAAAGGGTAGATTTTGCTCCGTAAAAGTGTAAGTCACTCTGCAAGAAGAGTTGGTCTTACCCCGCAATCATATCACTCGAGTTCTAAGGGCGCTAATCCGACTCTGACACCAAATTTCACTTTAACATTATTTTCAGTACTTTTTTGAACAACCAGAAAATTCATTGATCAATATGTCTCTTTAATTCACGCTCTGATAAGAAAATCCTCCTTTGTATACAGTTGCAGTAAGTCAAACATCATCTGTGCCAAATTCTTCCTTTCGAAATATTTATTTTCTGCCAAACTGATGGATATCTTTCTGTTAAATTGTCTTATTCACTTTGTTTGATACGAGACCGAATTTATAGCATCCGAATTTCCGCTAGGCGTTTTTCTTCAGCATGCAAGCATAGTAGCTAGTTAAAACGTCATCATTAATGATGCTTGCAAACAACATTTACTCACAGGCGTATTTCTTTTTAATTCAAGAACTATTCATCATAAGTTGTACCCTCTTGTTTCTTAATATTTATGTCGTTCCAATAATGTACTTCATTGAGATTTTTTACCATCCATTCCTTGAACTGACGTTATGTTTTATTGAAAGGATTCTGTTATTTATGTGTTTTTCTAATAAACGACCTAGCTTTTTGAAGAAAATGATGATTTTGATCTCTCACAAAATATTCTGTAATTAAGGAGAGCAATTCATGCTAATGCGCTTGCATGGGTCTCTGCGAATGAATAATTGCGACAGCGGGTGTTCCGGCCAACGTGAGTTCAGGTATTTTCTAAAAAATCAAAATATATAATAATTAAGAGAGAGAAATGTGTCCCGCAAATTTTGGGCAAATGTTGATGACGGCGCAGAGATACAACTATTCGTGCTTGATGGACGTCCGTGTTGCATCTGCAAAATTGAAGGCGCGCTGGCGCGAACTAGCAATACTCCGATCTATGTTGCCAATGAGGTGTCTTCGTGGGAAAGGATTAAAGACGAGGACCGGACATGTCTCTTTTATCTTCGGTTGTGTTGACACTCGATTCTTTTTTCGAAGAATCACCACTGCAGTGGCAACCTTGAGCCCTATCAAGTTTAAAATCGAGAAGGGATCTGAAATTATTCCTGTGAAAGATTCAACGTTTGGAGCAAAGTTTCATAACTTGTTTAACGTTCAAAATATTTTTCTTCAACTTTGAATTTTTGACGGGAGCACATCTCCAATGAGTTGAATTCAAAACTACACTCCCGACTCATTTTCCTCTCAAATACGTCTTGTTACGTTTCTTATAAACTCAAACTGAACGATCAAATATCCATGATCATTCAGAAAATAACTGAACGTTGGCCAAAATACCAATTGCCTTCCTTAAGGCCTGGATACACGCTCAAATTTCCATCAATTTCTGATCAAATGGAGACTGGTGCGCACGATCTACCATCAATTTTTTGCGACCTGCAAAAATTTGATGGCAGATGATGGAACTATGGATCTCATCCGTCATCTGATTTCCACACAACCGTGCTTATTGCATGCTTATTTCAATCAACACGCTGTTTTAATTCATTTTAGATAACTCTCTACCGCCATTTGTGTTATCATTTTGATCGGAAATTGACGGAAATTTAAGCGTGTAGCGAGGCCTTCAGAGTAACTGTTTGTCTGATTTTGCAGGTATGCGTATGCGTCTCTACTTCTCCAAGCCCCCACCGAACTACGAATGCTCCGTCTGCGGGCAGATGTATTCTCTTCAGACGAGTCTCCAGAAGCATATGAAATTACACACGGGTGAAACCACCTGCACGATATGCAACGGCGTGTACTCGAGCATTGGGAACCTCAACAAACATCTCCGTTTGACTCATAACATAACGAGGATGTCCTGAAATTTGGCCATTAGCTGTTTGTGATCAGAAATGAGGAGACGCGTTTGATTGTCGCGATTCAAAATGGCAGCAACCTGGTAGATCAGAGAAAAAGAGAGATCCTCTATTCTGCCGTGCTGAGGAAAAACGCCTTATGAACCCTTAGGCGTTGCCAAATTTCCACGTATAAAGTATGAATTTCCTGGAAAACTTATGAATATTTCTCTTCCAATTTTTCAGATAAGTTTGTCCGCAAATTCGCCCAAAGTTTCTGAAAATTTCAAGGAAAAATAATTATAACTTTTCTCAGAAATAAACATTTTAACAAAGGAAATTTGACAACTCTCGAATGTTCATACGGCGTTCTTCCTTAGTACGGCAGCTTCGTATCTTGGCATGCAATGCTAGACGCATTTACTTTCGGGACTAAAACTGACAACGAACATTCAACTGTTGACCCTCCCACTGGTGGATACTTTAAAACGTATTGAGTATTTCGTTTTGAAAACAACCCGAAGTTTGGTAAACTTGTTTGTTCCATGACTTCACCCGAAGCTCATCATCCACGTAGTAGGCAAGGTGACTGTTGCTTTTATATGATTGCCTACACTGGAAAAAAAGAATCTTAAATTTGCCGCCAAGAAGTATTTCTTCTTAAATCAAGAATTTTGTTGGTTAATATAAGCTACTTTTTTGCTTAACCCAAGCATTTTTTTTCTTGAATCAAGAAAAAGTCAGCTTAAAGCAAGATGAAGAAAATTCTTGGCGGCAAATTCAAGAATTATCATGCTTGACCCAGGCTACTTTTTTTTTCAGTGTATGAGGAAGTGTTGAATCCCCGAAAGTAAAAGTATCTACCCTGTCGCCACGGGGCTGGTGGATGGTTACCTTTTTTTCTCTTTGGTTGACGTAGGTAGCCATGGTAATGAAGAACACCGCATGGACTTTCGAATGTTGCTGAGCTGAGGGAGGACAAGGCGCATAAGTGCAGTTTTTGAAAAAAATTAGATATTCATGAACTCCACACTAAAATTAGGTTAAAAGTTTATTCTATGAAACATTCTCAACTAAAATCCAACTTTGAAGCATCACAAAGTGCTTTTTAACTTCCTTGCCGCCGTAAGGCTAGATGTAATCTTAAAACTTGAAACATGTATTTCTTGAAATAGCAAAAACTGCACTTATGCGTCTCAATTCTCCTTGATTTTAAAATATTAATTGTGTAAAACCGTTGTCAGTACTTTTCTTGGAATTTTTCAGTATGATTGAAAACTTACTCACAAATATCACTAACCACATAAGTATTCTTTAAATTAAATCGCGAGTAAATTTTTTTTGAAAAATAAAAAATATTTTTCATCCAATTTCGATTAAACACTCAGTTTATCATGGGTCTTAATGATTTTGTTGTTAGCGCTCACTTGCTCTGTTTGTTCATTGGCTCTGTTTTGTGCATCGGAGCTAACTTCAACATAATCCAAAACTATTTAAATTCAATAGTTGTTCGGTTTCTTAAGTTTTCTGTTTTATTTTTATTCTCCTTGTTTCTTTCAATAATACATGTTTTATTTTGAAACTCTCTTTTCACTTTCTTGATTGATCGCTCTTAACATTGAGCAGTAGTATAAAGAAACCTTTTTTTTGCTCTTGGTGGAGACTAGAGACTATCTATTTCAGACTCGACATCTGCAGCGCAAACAGTGTTAACAAGCGCAACAGCGTGTACTTTGCGATAAATCGATCTACGTACTGACTACAGAAAAGGATCGATTATCTAAAGCCTCGATGTCACGGACGAAGTTCAACGACTAATTTTGCGTTCAAAATATTTTTTATCAACTTCGAATTTTCAAGAGGAGAAATTTACCACCAATTCAATGGGCCTGTTGCGAACTTCGCCCGCCCAAAAACACGTAACGAGACGGGATTTTATCAACCAGCGTGGTCATATTTAATTTCCTCGCGTTGATAAAGATCATGTTTCTTCCTCACGATTTGTGCGCGGAAGCATCTGCCATGAAAAACTGTGCTGGAGTATCGTTTTTGAAACGGGAAGCTTTAAAAAAAAAAAAACGCATATTTTTTAGGCAGATTTTACGATTCGGATTGTAATTTAGACCATCCCGATGCGCTCATTGTGCTTTTGAAGCCATTTTCTTGAAGGAAAAACTCCTCTGTTTCCTCTAGCTGTAGTTTGCAACTGGCCCATTTAAAACTACGCCCAACTCATTTTTTTTTCTAAAATGCGACTTGATAGGTTTCTATTAAACTCAGTCCATTTTCAGCGATTTTTACTGACCATAACCATCTTTTCAGATTTGCTACCTTCTCTTCTCGATGACCGTCCCAGACAATCATCCGGGTACAGTTGTGAAACCTGTGGTAAAAGCTATCGATATCCTGGCGACTTCAAAAAACACATGCAGTCACACGTTGCTCAGCCCGTTTGCAAAATTTGCTCCAAGGTCTATTCAACGCAAGGGAACTTAAAACAACATATGAGATTGCAACATGGTTTTTTAAGAGATTAAAAAGCTCTCAGAGAAGAAGCTATAACAGCGGAAGTAACGCATTTTTACAGTTACATTTTTTTCCTGCAAACATGAACAATTCCTTTTTCGTGTACGAACTTTGAAGAGTAGCAAAAAGTTTTTAACTATGTCAAGATAACTTTTTATGCCCCTAGCTGGAAATTTCTAATGTTGCAATTATATAATATCTAATGGTCTTTATTTCTAATGACTTTAATAGCAAGGTTTTTTCTCTGCTCATTGGAAGAATGAAGGAGAAGTTTTTTTTTTTTTTCTTTTCTTTTCTTTTTGTTTTCTTCTTCTAAGTGCAGGCTTTAATTGTTTGTCAAACGTTCGTAACCAAAATGTGGTGATGGAAATAGGAAGAGTTTGAGAACGAGGAATCTCATACGATTCCATCCATTAAAACGTATTCGTGTTGCACAATCTCAGGGAATTTTTCGGTTTATTTACCATCGACTTTTCAAGATGACTTATCAATGGATCGTAAACCATTTTTAAGGGGTCTAATTATGACGTAGATTGTATTTATAGTTAGTAATATATTATTTTTTCTTTAAGAAAAAAAAGGGTGCACAAAATCAGAACAGAAAGGAAAAGAACCTTTGGGTTTCTTTTTCCTTTGCTGATGAACGAATAATGGCCATTGGATTTATTTCCGATAGTTTAGTATTTTAAAATTGGTGTTCTGGATTTTCTTGCAATTGATTTACGACGTAAGTACCTTAAAGAGCAGTTTTTGTCACTATAAATGTTAGTTCATGCATTATTTTCTTGAATTATTTATTTTCTTACATGTTATATGTTTATCGTTTACTGTGACCTATCCCAAAGTTTCAATACAGTTATTCTTATTCTCTTAAGTTCAGTTTTTTTTCTTAGTTGAAGCCTTCCACAAAACCCTGAGATTTTTCAGAAAAGCCGTGCTTTATTCAGCGTATATAACTATTGATACTATGTTGTATAATGCCATGCAGTTTTTTCACCTGCCTTCTCTCAAGCCTTTTAATTTGTTTTCCATTTTTGGTGTATGCATAAAATTTTTCTTTTCCATAGGCTACGTTTTAGTCTGCAACCGATTGTCCACCAATTTCCGCGAATTTTTTATTCCTTAAAAAAGAGTTCTTCGCAAGCTGAACGTAAAGTATTTTTACAATTTTTGTCTGTTGTAGGGATTAAGAGAAACTAGATTTAAAAGTGAGAAAATTATCCGCCTTGTTACGTCAGCGTTTCTTTGATTTTAGAATCCCCTTCACCTCATTGGGTCAAACCTCAATTACTCACGAAAAATCAGCGGTCCACGCCAGTGGCGAGGCGTCAATGATCGATTATCGACGATTCCCGATTTGAAACCATGGTAAAGAATCGATTATGAGGGTGTTCGTTGCGAGCACCCTATTTATCGATCCTTTTCCATAGGTTTAAACGGCAGATACATCGATATCGCAAATCACGCCACGCCTCCAGTCTGCGTCGTTAGCAATAATAATTTCTTTGAAAATGGGCGCTTTGAACTCAAATTCCAACCTGTTCTCAGGTTTGGCGTTATTTCCTCCATTGAGAGTACATCCTCAAAACACGAGAAAAATAAAACTTTCACAATGGACCAGTAGACATGGTGCGTAACTAAGCATTCGGGTACGCGTTTCCTCTTCAAAATGTAATACAATTTTTAGTTTACGGGAATTTTGAATTCCCCACTCACAAGAGAAACAACATTTTTTTTATAATTGAATCAGTGAGAACGAAAACACCTCAACTCGGGAACTCGAAAATGCTCTTTTTTCACGAAGGATTGACAATTTTCATGAAGGTCATTGAAGTTACCGTATCTGTTTCAACTTGGACATTTAAAGTTTTCCTCAGTACTTGATTTTAGTCACCAAAAATATTTTTCTTAGACTAACTTCTTCATCTAATATGTGGTTTTGTGTGTATCTTGATTAATTTAATTTTCTCGAGTTGGTGTGGTATCGTTCTCAGTGATTCAATTGATTTCCTGAGAGGAAATGTGTCAACGTCTGAAGGCTCATACTGCGCGCTTCCGTAGCACGGTAGCATTACTACTCACTCACAATTGGACCGTGTTAAGCAGAAAGGAACCAAGCTGCATCCGCCATTGTCAAATTCAATCGGGCAATTTAATTTTTTACATGAAAACGCATTGGCGCCTACAAACCTAAGAGGATACTTCACGCATTGCGCATTGCTTGAAGTATCCCCTTAGGTTTGTAGGCGCCAATGCGTTAGCCGGTCGCGCGGATTTGTGTGCAAATTTTTGTGACTTTTGTCATAGTGAGAAGCAAACATCTTATTTGCAAAGGAATCTGCACAAACGTTCTCTCAGGAAAAATAAAATTGCCCTGTTTACAGTACAATAGCTGATGTGGCTTGGCTCCTTTCTACTAAACGCGGTCCAATTAGTTGTTTCAATTTTTAAATTAAAGTCATCAAATAA